CAATATTCTTAGAATAGGTCAAGGAATAACCTCTTGAATTTTTGCCGTATTCATGTATGAATTGTTGTGGTAATCGATACAGAATCAAGTGTTACTCTCGCGTTTTTCTTGGATAAGACCAACATCTAGCATACGTTTCACTTCATTTTCCATGATGGTTCATTCTGGTTCATTTCTGCTAAGAGACCATCGACGTGGTACCTAACACACCCTGTATATGAAAATTGTAATGGATAGTCTATATTTTTTATTTACACTGTAGGAAATAATTCACGAGCACACCCTATATAATCTGAACGCGTGAACATAAATCCATAATATTTGCGGAGCACAAAGGTTTACTGTAGACGAGTTTATTCAGGGAGTATCGAGTTGTTCCGTCGAGGCATTGTTGACTGAGTCGCTCTTCCAAGTGGAACATTCCGTCGCTATGGAGACCGAAGTGGATGGAAAATACCGGTCGTTTTTAGTGTGGTGTGAGGGACCACATTTTTATCGTACTCTGTGTGCAATGGATGAGCGATCGCGTTACTTAAGAGAGTTTGAGCGAGGAATGTTTGTGGGTATGCACATTGAGGGTGTATCGTTCTGTGAAATTGCGCGTCGTCTCGAGCGGTCGTTATCGGCAGTGCAACGGGCATGGTGAGAATGGTCTGAGGTAGGACATAGGTACCTTCAGCCGCGGTCGGGACGGCCCTGCGCGTCCCCAGCACACGAGGATCGAACTCTTGTGCTCAGCGCTTTAGCCTCGTGTGTGTCCTCCTCAAGGCAACTTGGAGCTGTTTGGACACCGGCAGGGGAAGGCACACTCACTACGCGAACTGTACGGCAGTGTTTGGTAGATAGTGGACTGCGCGCGCGTCGTGCGATACAGCGGATTCCAGTAACACCCGAGCACCGCAGCATACGTCACGAGTGGGTCGACGCTAGGCATTAGTAGGTTGCCGAGTAGAGGGACATTTTGTTTTCCGACGAATCAAGATTCGAATTGAGCACCGGTGATGCGCGAATTTTAGTTCCTCGGAGCCGTGATGATCGTCTACTCGAGCAGTGTGTGCAAGAACGCCCTATTCAGCGACAACCTAGCATTATGGTATGGGGTGCGATTACATATGGTGGACGTATACGTCTGCCACGTGTATAGCAGACCATGACGGGTCAACGATACGTAGATGAGGTGCTACGGTCTGTTGTGCTTCCCTACGTTCGGCGGCTCCCAGGTTTGCTATACATGCACGACAACGTACGACAACACATCGGGCGTGTTGTACAGACCTTTGTGGAAGAGCGCTGTATACGAATGCTTCCATGGCTAGCTGGGTTTCCGCATCTGGATCCGATCGAACATGTTTGGGAAATGATTGGTCGGAGACTTCTACGTTATCCGGCTTCCTCCGCTAACGTTGAGGAGCTATGGAGGCGAGTTGAGGTGGCATGGTTGGCCATCCCTCTTGCTACAATACAGCGACTTATAGACTCCATACCACGTCGTGTAGCGATGGTATGCGAAGCTCACGGGGGATACTCTCACTATTAATGTTTCTCCTCCCAGCAGAGTTGTGCCGCTCTCCATGTGAAAGTAAGTTACACTACTTTAGTACTACTTCCATACCAAATTTTATTGCGCTAGATACACGCGTTCAGATTATACAGGGTGTGCTCGTGAATTATTTCCAACAGTGTATTTTAAAACTAATGGTTTCTTGATTCCATTTCCAGAAAGTTTTTTTTGTTTTATGGCATTCTTGGGATGCATATGGTATGCGATGAAAGGGCACTTTATTTCCACAACAACTCCTTGTCCCACTAAACCGTCTGTAGTCCCCTAGGAAGCTGTACTCAGCATCTATGAACAATCCGCACGTTTCTACCTTTATATTATCCTGTTCTTCTAACTGATATATACCAAGTTTTTCATTCATTTTACCATGCTGCACAGCCTTAGATCTACTTACTGCATCACGCGATTGATGCGACAAATTTGTAAACTTTACGACAAATTACAACAAATTAAGTGATAATTAATGCAATAATTTTTTTATTCAAATCGCCAGATGTAGTGCCAACTTGACAGACGTGTCAAATACCTTAAACTAGTACTCCACTGATTCCTTTATTCTCCCGGAATATTTCTTGTCACACTCTATCGATTCTCTTACTAGGAGTGGGCTATGAGCATGGTGTGGAGTATTGCTTACCTTTCTTTGCTCTTCATCTTTGCTCTTGCAGTTTTACTAAGATTTTTTTTTCATTCGTAACTGTCTATAAAATATTTCGCACCATTATTCAAATCTCCTAAAACTTCTTTATTGATTATATCGTTCGAAATAGTTTCTAAACGTTTTTGAGAATCCAAACTGTTTAACATATTTCTTCACTTTCTCAATGCAATCCTCTTCTTTTAGTATTAATTTCAACGTCATAAGTGTTTTCGTTGTTCCAAACCTATTTTGGAGATCTTTTTCGTTTCTCCATTGATGATTTCAGTCAGATATAAATTGCATGCAATAAATGTTCCATGTAAACGCACCATAATAGTCTTGTTGCAACACCCATTTAACGGGTCTCCAACCAAGTCGGATCGTATCGAAAGCTCAATAGACATCAATAAAGTAATAAATTACGTTAAACTATCCGACGAAAATATTTCTTTTCTGCATAATTGAGATTTTCTAATATCATACAAAGAAGACGTTTAACTATTGTGTAACCATTGCACAATCCTAATTTATTCCCAACCGAGATAACGTCGGCGTCAAGTGGCTTTGTAATCACAGCAGGGGTATTTATCACGTCGTCGTCGTTGGTGCAAAGGCTCTTCCGCCACGCTGTGTCCCTCACGATTCTGGACTCAGTACAGGCCACTCCGGCGTTTGTACGCCACAAATTGCCGTTCGCTTTGTGTGTTTTGCCAGAGAGCTAAAGCGTTCTCGTCGTGAACGTCAAGGTTGCCGCCGACGGCAATGCGCTTTTGTCATCGAGCGATTTTAGAGCTTCCTATGGCCACGCAGCCGGTTTAAGTAACACTTTGTCGACAACGGATTTGTGGTGGTTATATTCGAATTGAAATCGAGGCATGTAGCGTTATCGTTGATCTCACGCACGTAACGAGAAGGCGAAGAAAATTATGGGAGGAAGAAAGATACGAGGCTTATTCACGTTGTTGTAATTAGAAGTCGACGGGGTTCAGATTCACGTTATTACGAAACTTTCCTGTTATGGGAATTACCGAAAATTGAACGCAACATATCTCGGCGTTAACGAATTCGTTGCTATTATGTGATATATAAGTATAGGTTAAAAAAAATTAATTAGGGCGCTTTAAAAAAAATGAGTAATCTTTTTTGTGATACAGAAATATGAATACATACATGATTCATTAATTACAAGTTTCTGTGTGCCTTACGGACAGAAAGCCGTCGAGAAGGCGTTATTAATTTTAATAGATATCCACGGACGATGATGTCATCATCAGCTTTTGACTTGCACGGTCGTCCGATGATCAAGTTGGTCGCGGCGCGGATATTAGGACCAACTTTACCTAAAGTGTAATTAATTATAATGACCGCGACGCGGGCGTCGTTTATCTCGGAGAACTTTCCGGGCACTTAAAACTCAATTAAAGCGCCGACAGAGAGGGCGGAAGGAATCAGCTCGGGATGAAAAACTGAAAAAACTCTCTTCGGGGGCGGGTTTACCACCGTCTCGAGTTTGACCGGAGCGACGTCGTTTTATGTGCGCCAGACGTCTGACCTCCGCGTTTTCTCTAAATTTCTTATACCTCACGTTCGGTAATCAACGCCATCCTTAAATATTAATAATAGGGTTCGCGTGAGAGATAAATCAGCAACGACAGGCTTCCATCAAAGTTATAATAAAAAATGTTTATTACATCTTTTAGTAAAATGAAGAAATTATCAATTAATTATTAACCTTCGAGCGGGCGCGCCCGATTTTATAAAACGAGCGGGCGCCTGTCATAAATTTTTTGTAATTCGCGACGGTAATGAAAGCTCTAACAGTACTCAAACGGATGTTGTAATGAGACTCCTTACAGCATCCGATGCTATAATGAGATTTTAGTAACATTTTATGGAACCAGTTCAAGTTGGTGACATTGGGTCATTAACTTTTCTAGTTGTCAATGTGACAATTTTTTTCTATGGATGTTTAAACACGTTCTTAGAATCGAATACAAGGTCCACAATGATGAGTATATTGAACACTGAGCAATTGCTCTTATTTTGGGAGGTGTACATGAAACATTTTTTTCAGGTGAATACATTTTGTGTTTTGACAGTTTCTAATTGTCAATAAAAATTTCTATTTTCAAGTGTTACGGTGTTACCAACTGCTACATACCTATTTCCCTACATTGATAAAATTTATTTTATTTTTGTTAAAAAAAAGGATAAAAACGCGAATTACAAAAAATAGCATAAAAAACACGTTTCATAAGACTAAAAGCACTCATTCATTAAAAATGAATGAGTGCTTTAATCAAAAAAATGATGCTAGAGTAAAAATATTTAATTTATGTTAAACAATTGTTAAAAACATAAAATGAAATCAATGAAATCGATTAATTTTTGAAATCTAACAACATTTACAAACTACATACGGGAATTTCATACATATAACTCGCAATATATGAATGCAGTAAAAATAGTTACGAATGTTCCACATAAAATGCAACATAGCTTAACCCTTTGTGTCTATTCGGCATATTTAGAGAGTAGTAGATAAAAGCCGATTCTAGAACCTCCTCTCAGAACCTCAGGGCAAGGTCAAGGTCATGGTCACTCAACGTGACCTTGGCCTTGACCTTGACCAAGTGATAGCAGATAGAAAATCGTGTTCAACAGTATTGAAATAAGAGTGTTGTGAACATGTTGACCTGCGACGTGTGTTACAAAGAGTTTACTAGACCAGATAATCTTGTGAGACATCAACGCACAGCATGTATTGGGAAACGTCGAAAGGTGGAAGAGGTGTGATGAACACGTAACCCGACAATGTTACTCCTCACATCTGCGCAGCAACAAACATAAACAGAAAGCCTTCGTAATAATAGATGATGGTGTAGAAAAAATAGATTCGATATTTGGAGATAAAATATGTAGTTTTAGAGTGAGCGATCATGAACGGAAGTACGTAGACATGAAGGAATTCAGTAACCGAATTAGAGAAAAAGTTATCAGTTTGATACAGTCCGTGAGGAATGTAAATGGTAGTTTAAAAGTGAATACGGAAATTTTTGGATTGTATTTCATAAATACGAAGGAAGAAGTGGAAATCAAATCATTCAACACAAAAAATAAAATTATAACAGTAGCCGTAGACTTGTACCAAACATACGAGGACTTTATGGACGAGATTATGGTGAAAATGTCGGAATTCCAAGAACGGGACTCAGGTAAGAGTATAAGAATAGAAAAGTAGTAAAATGCGAAACTAAAGGCGTTAATACTGCAGGTTGGACCTTGTTGGAAATATTATATCTTGAAGTGAACTGTAACAAGTTTAATCCTACAAGAGCATCGAGCTACATCGACTTACCGACATCCATAAAAGGGAAGAGAGCGGTAATAAACGTGCAAAATAACGATAATAAGTGCTTTGCTTGGGCACTGATGTCCGCGCTGTACCAACCCACAGGTTTACCGCAAAGAATATCATCATACCCAGATTATAGGGAAACAGAATTAAAGTTTGACTGCGTAACATTCCCAGTACCCATCAGAGACATACCAAAATTTGAGGAAGAAAATAACATTTCAATTAACGTCTATGGTATAAATTCTTGGTATAATGGAGAGAAAATGGTAGATGATATTGTAACTGTATGTATATGTAAACAGAAACGGGAGCGTCATGTAAACTTATTAGTAGTCAGCGACAATTTCGGGAATAACCACTATTGTTGGATAAAAAACTTATCTCGACTGATAAATACACAATCATCGACTCATGAACATCAAAGATATATTTGTGAGGGTTGTTTGCAATACTTTTCAACTGAAGACAAGTTGGTACGACATCAGATGGATGACTGTAAAAAAGTGAAAGCAACAGTACCAAGCGAACAAATAAAAGTGAATAAGTTCGGACATCTAGAAAAGGAAAATGTTTTACAATTTGAAGGATTTGAAAAAAAAATGAAAGTTCCGTTTGTGGTGTACGCCGATTTCGAGGCGATTCTGAAACCCTTAACGCCCGAAGAAGGAAAAGTTTACGATGATAATAAACCATATACGGCCCGATGTTTTGAACACGAACCATACGCGTTTGCTCACTACATTAAGTGTGCTTACGATGATAACTTATCGAAATTCCGAATATACCGAGGGCGAAACGCTGCTCTGGAATTTATTATAAGATTGGAGAAGGATGTAATAGAGATCTATAAACAACATTTGAGGCAAACAAAGGATATGATACCGCTAAGCTGTCTGGACCAATTTGTACATGAACTGAGTTCCGTATGNACGCAAAATAACTAATACAAAACTAAACAACATAAAACAGAAAAAAAATACAAACAAACAATTACAACACAGAAAACAATGCAAAAATACAGGAATTAATCGCTATAAAAATTGTTTCAATTCAATTAAACACTCACAAAACTAATTTTGACGTTTTTGAATAGACATTATTAAAACCAAACAAAGCGTTTCCATGGTTACCCATGGGTAATGCTATTTTTACGTTCAGAAAAAAAAATAAAATTTGTACCTTTAAAGCTAATTTTCTCAAAATTTTCCTTATGTAACCCATATCGATATTTACATCGTTAGTCGCAGAGAAATATATACTTTCAGATTTTGTAAACAAATGCATGTGGTGCCATTTAAAAAAAATGTCGATGACGTCATAACTCATAAAAAAATTATTGTCAGGAAGTGAATATGGTGTCATAATGTGTGTTATGATTAACCAAATTGACCCGTTTCGGCATTTTTGCAAAAAAAAAATTTGTTATCAATTTATTGAATATGTTCCATAATTTTGCCGCGCACTGTATAACTCGAAATATATGAATGCAGTAACCATAGTTACGAATGTTCCACATAAAATGCAACATAGCTTAACCCTTTGTGTCTATTCGGCATATTTAGAGCTGTCGGTACTTTCTACTATACAAGAAAGAACCTGTATAAAAAATGTTTAGTGAAAAGTGGTGTTGCTGAATTTTGTTGTTCAGAAAGGTATCTCTTTGATAAATGGTTATTAGGTGTGATTTTTAAGCAGCTTCGTGTATTGGTTACGTATTGCAATTACAATTTTCAAAGATTTCTTATTTTTATCCCGAAAAAAGTTACATTTTGTCGTTGGTACGTAAAAGTACCGTCAGGATAATAACAGGTACAATATTGGAATTGATGTAAAAATGAGTTAAGCGAATATAGAAACGTTTTGATACTTGTACAAAGCTTTGACCGATGAAGTACTTTTGGTTAAGGCTGAAAAAGTTTGTGTTGAATTAGAAAATCTCCCGTTGGATAATTCTGAACAAACAACAAAGAAGATGACATTGTTATTAGTAATGCTAGTGAGGTACCTATACTGGAAGATGAAGAAGTAGAACAACTAACTAATCAAAATGAGGAAAGTGACATTGAAGTGGTAGAAATAAAGGGCTCAAGAAGAAGAACAAAGCAAAAATTCAAAAAAAAATAAAAGCAGACTGAAATTCCAGGACACGATTATTCAGAGGGAATAATTGGTGATACTTTAGCAACTTGCAATAACCCAACAGATTATTTTCTAACACTGATGGGTAACTGTGTGAAAATATTACCTTTCAAAGTAATTTACAGGCCACTCAAAGGAATAAAACACTAAACTTGAAAGAAGAAGAGTTGCTGTCTTTCCTTGGATTGTGCTTCAATTTACTGAAGATGAGTGGAATAAAAATAGAATGATTTATTTCGATAACTTTTGTACAAGTATCCGTCCTTTGAAAATTGAGAAAACCTTAGCTAGTGAAACAATAAGGTCTCACAAAAAAGGTGCACCAAAAATTTGGTAGATGATAAACGAATGAAAAGAGGAGATTATGATTACCGGATCACAAATTTAGATATAAGTTATTACAAATGGAAGGACAACTTTTAGAAAAGATTTTTAAATTACTTTTGGAAAAGAAAGAGGATGGTATAAAAATTGCTCTGTCAAAGCTATTCAGTCCAGACCACATTCAAAATGTACTGTGTGCAATGTTTATTTATGTTGTAATGAAAAAAGAACTGTTTTTCTGAATATCATAATGTGATTTAGGATTTACTCCTGGAATGGGGGGATTGTCATATTTTGCTAAAATTGATTCCAAACGCCTTTACTAAGTGTATTTTGATAGCATCTTAATTCTGTCACAAAGTTTCAAAATTATTGACTTCTTGGGACTTCTTGTGACGTCCTTATGATAATCTTGAGTATTCATCCGTCTTAAGATACGCACGGAACGTTCCGAATGTTTCTAATTCTGGGACTAGTGTTACTTCTACTTTTCGTTCAATAAAAATAGCCCACAATCAAACACTGAATAACATTTAAAACTAGGATTAATATTAGACCTAGAAACATTCGGGTTTAGCCGTGCGTCTCTCAAGACGGCTAATCCAAATGATTCTAGTTCTAGGTATTGCGTAAGTTCTAGTGATAGTGTAAAACAAGAACAAATACTAGACCTAAAACTAGAAACATTTGGATTTAGCCGCACGTCTCTCAAGATGGCTAAACCCGAATGATTGTAGTTCTAGGTCTAGTTTTAGTTCTAGTTTTAGTTGATTAAAAATATGCAACATTATGATTTCTTATGCTAATTAGCGCTACCTAACATTGTCACTAGATCTAACGCTAGACCGAGAACTAGAAACATTCGGATTTAGCCGTACGTCTCTCAAGACGGCTAAACCCGAATGATTCTAGTTCTAGGTCTTGTGTTAGTTCTAGTACTAGTGTAAAACTAGAACTAACACTAGAAGGTTAGGTGAAGAATCTAGTTCTAGGTCTAGTGTTAGTTGTAGTTTTAGTTTAATAAAAATATGCAACGTAGTGATTTCTTATGCTAACTAGCGCTACCTACCATTGTCACTACAATTAACATTAGACCTAGAACTAGAAACATTGGGATTTAGCCACACGTCTCTCAAGACGGCTAATCCCGAATGATTTTAATTCTAAGTCTTGTGTTAGTTCAAATGATAAGGCTACTGCAATACTAAAACTAACACTAGACCGAGAACTATATAATATAATCCAACTGACGTAGGATTGTCAATCTCTTCCTCAGACTGTCAATATTTATTGTTAATATATCAAATATTTTTGTTTTTGTCAAGCCATCCCATCAATATTTTCATTTTTTTCATCATGTTCGAAATATATAGTACATAAATACTTTAGTGTTAAATCCTTTCAAATGGATGATATAAGGAGATATACCTATTATAAAAACGAAAATTGTCATACATTTTATAACAGCTCGAAGGTTAAAGCGGAATCGTGATGATTTATTAATTGTTGTGGAAAAAGAAAACTTTTTGTTATGGCCAAACTATTAACATTAACTAGGGAGCGAACCAGGTGTGGATGATAACATAATGTAATTGTGTTTGCAGCGTTCACCAACAACTAAACACTAAGCACAAAACTAGAACTAACATAGAAGTTGACGTGTAACGTAAGCGAGTTGGAATTAGATTTATACGGTACAAAGGGACGCAGAACTCGAAGGATTTTCTTGTTTGCTTACGTCACAATGCCGATAATAATGACACGGTCGTTCGTTCCTTCGTTTTACGATTTGTGATGCTCCGGTGATCTTTGATCGAGCACCACCGGGGAACTTATTATTTTCTTTGTTTGTGGGTGGTCTGAGAATTGGCAGTTTTCAGTTGCAAAGCGAATCGGTCGTGTCATTAAACGGTTGTTGGTGCAATTATTCCTCTTCGGAATTGCATCTGCTTTCACGGATGATATGGTTTAATTTTTTGTTCTTTTTTCTATTTAGTTTCCGTAATAAAAAGAATTACCCAAGCCGTTATTTGTGTCATTGGCAGGTTCGGTTAGGGAGGTCTGCAACGTCGGTGAGAGTAGATTTGTGCTACGTCGAAAAATAAACCAATTTCGTAGAGAACTTTTCTCGAAAGCACGCTTTGAATTGTATCCCTAACGGGTTCTACCTTTGATGTCACTTAATTGGAACGATTATGTTTACCTCATAGGCACGAAAAAAATCGAATTCCTTTCAGTTTTATTTGCGACCGATCGCAATTAGCCAATTGGTAATATTACACGCACCCACGCTTTCCCCCCGAATCCGTTTTTAGTTCCGCGCAAGCAAGAGATATTTAATTACTTGTTATTTGTATCCTGTCGCGCAATTTATATACATTAACGGTAAATTATAGGGCCACGTTAACGCATTGCCGAGTAAACACCCAGCTAAATAAATGTTTGTTTAAATTGTCGATATGACGCTACGGCCGTTTGCAACAAAATTAATAATACTGCTCGGTAACGAGTGTAACGAGGGATGGTAAATTGCCTGTACTCAATCCAATTTGTTACGCGTATAAACTATTATTATTGTTTGGACGTTTAAAAATTTTATCAATATATGGAGCTGATGGAATAATATAACGAAGATTTTGGAAGAGGTTTTCCCATGCAAATCATAGCAAATAAATCATATTCTGTTCTCTTGTACCAATTGTTGCTAAATTAGGTATATAATATTATGGATTACGAAGATAACGCAGTATAATTGGATTCAAAATTAAGATTTTTACTTCTTGTCTAAAATTTAAGTTGAAAGTTTGCATATTAAGTTTTTAAATACTTAGCCTTCTTGTTCATAGTCATTCCAGTTTGCTTACAAATAATGATATATACAGAAGAAACCACGTCTGGAAACGCCAAATCTACCAACATTTGAGATTGAATTTATTCTGGAAGGTCTAAAATAAATAAAATTCTTAGCACAACCTAGATATGAAATAATTCCAAAATGCAGTGATTTTGACATTAACGCATTATTAATTAAAACTGTCAGTAGTTTGTCGTGTTTTGAAGAGTTCTGCAAAATATGTCGTTTCTCTAATATGGTTCATAATGGACTACATTAATGGTTATCATATTGTACAAGGTGTACCATTTTGTTGTAAGCAACGTTATTTTTTTGAATAACTTGAAAACAACTCAATATTCTGCTTAGATACGATCATTTTTTTGAAATTTGGACTTGTATAATTTGTTTAGACACTTTCTGAAAGTGATGTCTGGTAGGTGGCCTCCCCTAGCTGTCACCACAGGGCATTTTTTTCGACATTTTCCATCACTTTGTGTCTGGCTTGCTGACATAAACCTTGCTCTTAAGGTATCCCCAGAGGAAAAAGTCAGGAAGCGTCAAATCAGGCCAATCGTAATCGCCACTTTTCAATATCAATCGATTAAGAAACATGGTACGCAACAAATCCATTCTTAATTGAGCAGT